AGAAATCCCAAAATCCCAAAGATTGGGAGTGGTGGCAGCTCCACGAACTGCACCGAGTCCAGGAACTCGCCCAACCCCAGCAGAGTGGAGTTGGCTGGGGGGGTCGGAATGATGGGAATTATTGGGATTGGGGGTCACAGGAAATCCCACAGACCCCAGAAATCCCAAAATCCCAGAAATCCCAAAGTTCCAGAAATCCCAAAATCCCGGAAATCCCAAAATCCCAAAGATTGGGAGTGGCTGGAGCTCCACGAACTGCACCGAGTCCAGGAACTCGCCCAACTCCGGGAGAGTGGAGTTGGCTGGGGGGGGTCGGGATTGGGGGTCACTGGAGGGATCCCAGAAATCCCACAGACCCCAGAAATCCCAAAATCCCGGAAATCCCAAAAAATCCCAAAGATCGGGAGTGGCTGGAGCTCCACGAACTGCACCGAGTCCAGGAACTCGCCCAACACCAACAGAGTGGAGTTGGCTGGGGGGGTCGGAATGATGGGAATTATGGGGATTGGGGGTCACTGGAAATCCCACAGACCCCAGAAATCCCAAAATCCCAGAAATCCCAAAATCCTGGAAATCCCAATGATCGGGAGTGGCTGGAGCTCCACGAACTGCACCGAGTCCAGGAACTTGCCCAACTCCGGGAGAGTGAAATTGGCTGGGGAGGTTGGAATGATGGGGATTGGGGGATTTGGGGTCACTGGAGGGATCCCAGAAATCCCACAGACCCCAGAAATCCCAAAATCCTGGAAATCCCAAAGATCAGGAGTGGTTGCAGCCCCATGAACTGCACCGAGTCCAGGAACTCGCCCAACCCCAGCAGAGTGGAGTTGGCTGGGGGGGTCGCAATGATGGGAATTATGGGGATTGGGGGTCACAGGAAATCCCACAGACCCCAGAAATCCCAAAATCCCGGAAATCCCAAAGTTCCAGAAATCCCAAAATTCCAGAAATCCCAAAATCCCAAAGATCGGGAGTGGCTGGAGCTCCACGAACTGCACCGAGTCCAGGAACTCGCCCGCCTCCGGGAGAGTGAAGTTGGCTGGGGGGGATTGGGGGATTTGGGGTCATTGGAGGGATCCCTGAAATCCCACAGACCCCAGAAATCCCAAAATCCTGGAAATCCCAAAGATTGGGAGTGGTTGCAGCCCCATGAAGCAAGTCCAGGAACTCGCCCAACTCTGGAAGAGTGGAGTTGGCTGCGGGATTGGGGGATTTGGAGTCATTGGAGAGGTCTCAAAAATCCCACAGACCCCAGAAATCCCAAAANGAACTGCACCGAGTCCAGGAACTCGCCCAACTCCGGGAGAGTGGAGTTGGCTGGGGGGGGTCGGGATTAGGGGATTTAATGGGATTGGGGGTCACAGGAAATCCCAAAGACCCCAGAAATCCCAAAATCCCGGAAATCCTAAAATCCCAAAGATCGGGAGTGGCTGCAGCTCCACGAACTGCACCGAGTCCAGGAACTCGCCCGCCTCCGGGAGAGTGAAATTGGCTGCGGGGGATTGGGGGATTTGGGGTCATTGGAGGAATCCCAGAAATCCCACAGACCCCAGAAATCCCAAAATCCCAAAGATTGGGAGTGGTGGCAGCTCCATGAACGGCACTGAGTCCAGGAACTCGCCCAACTCCGGGAGAGTGAAATTGGCTGCGGGGGATTGGGGGATTTGGGGTCATTGGAGGGATCCCAGAAATCCCACAGACCCCAGAAATCCCAAAACCCCCAAAAATCCCAGAAATCCCAAAGATTGGGAGTGGCTGGAGCTCCACGAACTGCACCGAGTCCAGGAACTCGCCCAACTCCGGGAGAGTGAAGTTGGCTGGGGGGGATTGGGGGATTTGGGGTCATTGGAGGGATCCCAGAAATCCCACAGACCCCAGAAATCCCAAAATCACGGAAATCCTAAAGATTGGGAGTAGTTGCAGCCCCATGAAGCAAGTCCAGGAACTCGCCCAACTCTGGAAGAGTGGAGTTGGCTGGGGAGGTCGGGATTAGGGGAATTATGGGGATTGGGGGTCATTGGAAATCCCAAAGACCCCAGAAATCCCAAAAATCCCAGAAATCCCAAAATCCCAGAAATCCCAAAAATCCCAAAGATCAGGAGTGGCTGCAGCCACTGAACCGAGTCCAGGAACTCGCCCAACCCCAGCAGAGTGGAATTGGCTGTGGGATTTTGGGATTTTGGGATTTTGGGATTATGGGATTTGGGGTCACTGGAGGGATCCCAGAAATCCCACAGACCCCAGAAATCCCAAGAATCCCAAAAATCCCAAAGCTCTCAGGTCAGAAAGCCCCAAAATCCCAAAATCCTGGGGAGCTGTTGGAGCTAAAAGGGAGGAACCCCCAACAGGGACGGCCCCAAAATCCTCTGGGGGCCCAAAATCCCAATC